TATACACATCTAATTTTTAGGAGGTACCAATCATCGATTTTATATTATGTTTTTGTGTTTTCAGTTATGTTTGATAGTGTATTTATGCCATGATTCAGGGACCCTAAAAATGTCCCTGTTTTTTCATTGATGATACATGTAGGTTTTTAATCCAAGTTGAGTTCATTTTGTACATAGTGTGAAATGTGGATCTGGTTTCATTCTTTCTGATTTTATAGATAATATTTCTTTACCTTGATGGACTGGCACAGTGGCAGCAGCAATGGGCTCAAGTGTAAGAAAGATTGTGAGGTTGGCGCAGGACCAGGCAGTGTTTCATTCTGTTGTGCTAAGTCACTATGTGTCGGAACTGACTCAATGGCACTTAACAACAACATTTTGTGTCGAGAACTTGGAAAATCCAGGGAAATATAGATAAAAGAACAAAAATCACTCATAACCTCCAAGTTAGGATTATTTTAAACCATGGACACTGGTTTCAGACAGACTTATATTTGAGTCTGTCTTCCTCCAGCAACCCAGTTTCTTCATCTATAAAAAGGGATGGAATTAGGTAAAATAACATATATCAAATATTTTAGCCCAGTGACTCATGAATAAAAATTCTAAAAATGTTGATTATTATTATCATTATTATTTTCTACTACCACTATTAACCTGTAGGAGAAAGATGAGACTTTCTGTTTCTGTAGCCTCAGAAACTTTACAGCACACAACAACCACCGCCATCACTGTTAACATTCGAATGTATTTTTCTTCTCCTTTGCATACTGGCAGTCCAGTAGGATAAGCATTGGGCTACTAATGGAAAGGTAAGCAGTTCAAGACCACCACTATAGTAAGATGAGGCTGTGTGCTCTTCTAACAGTCTTGGAAACAAACTCTGAGGAACAGTTCTACTCTGCCCTATGGGATGGCTATGAGTTGGAATCAATTGGATGGCAATGGATTCATTTGGCTTGGTACATACTGTATTCCCTGGTTGGATAATAATGTATGAACAATTTTGTATCTATTTTTTTTCACTTAGCATGACACCATTACTATTTTCTCACATTAAATTTTCCAAAAAAGATGATATTAATGCTTTTATAATGATGCAGAATATATACAAAAGTTATCCGTATTACAGTTATAATAAAACACCTGTGCACATCCATGGCTGATGACAACATTGAGCTTGCCCGTGAAACGATTCTGTTGATTAGATGAGTGACAGTGGATTATGTGGCAAATCATTTCCAAATCAGTCATGGCTCTGCCTATAAAATAATCCACGACAGACTTGGATTTTGAAAAGTTTGTGCGAGATGGGTACCGAAACAACTCATGAAAGAGCATAAACAGAAGCGTTTGGACATCTGCAAACAAAATTTAGACTGATATTGGAAGGAAGGTAAATATTTCTTTGAAAAAAAAAATAGCTACTGGTGATGAGACATGGAGTCATCACTAGGAGCCTAAGAAATGGCAGAGGATGGAATGGAAACATCCTTAATCGCTGACCAAGAAGAAGTGAAAAAGTCAATCATCAGCTGGAAAATTGTTGCTTACAGTTTTCTGGGATTCTCAAGGGCAGTATTGGAGCGCTATCAGGTAAAATGTTCAACAACCAACAGTGCTCGTTAGTGTGAGACGCTCACTGAAGAGCTGAAGCTTGTTGTTGTTGTTGTCAGGTGCCATCGAGTTGGAACCGACTCATAGCGACCTCATGCACAGCAGAACGAAACAATGTCCGATCCTGGGCCAACCTCCTCACTACCGCTGCCACACTTGAGTCCATCAATGATGCCACCTGGCCAATCCATCCCATTGGAGGTCTTCCTCTTTTTCTCTGACCCTCCACCTTACCCAGCATGATATCCTTCTCCAGCGACTGTTCTCTCCGGACAATGTGTCCAAAGTATGAGAGACGAAGTCTAGCCATCTTGGCCTCCAAGGAGCACTCTGGTTGCTGAAACTTAAACTTCGGATTAAACACAGAGGACTGCTATCCAAGGGTAATGTAATCTTACATAATAATGCACTTCCACACACTCCTGCCCACACTGTTTACACTCTGCAAAAACTTTGTTTGGACACAATTTACCTTATGGTCTCCTTGTTAGACCTTTCTGTTTTTCAATACTGCCAAATAATCAGTTGAAAATTTCTCTTTTTATTTGTAATTTATATTTCTTGATTTCTGGGACTCTTAAACAATTTTCATGTATTTGTTGGCCAAGTGTAATTGCTACTGTAAGGATTATATACTGACTAATATCTCTAGAGTCCTTGTGCTATTGTTTTGTTTTGTTTTGTTTAAGAGAAAACGGGCTCTTGATGAAGTAAGATTATTAACATATTGTTGATATTTGATTAAACATTTTCTTCAATTTGTGGTTTCACAAATTGGCATGGTAGGATAAGCACTGGACCATAAGGTCAATTTGAATTGCAAGGTTAGTGATTCAAACTTATCCAGCCACCCCTTGGAAGCCCTATACAGAGTAGCTATGAGTCAGAATTGACTTGACAGCATTTAACAGCAACAACGAAAGTTTGCCTACTAATTCCTATTTTAAGAATTTAAGCACTTTTATTAAGTGCAATGCATTGCAAAATTATTAGTAATGGTTTACCATCAATCTTAAATACATTGTTTTGTGGTACTTGAATACCTCAGAGATACTGTGGGTTTA